TTATAAATTCATTTTTTATGATCATTATAGAATTTAAAATTTTTATGAAATTGGATATTTACCCGTAAATTAACGATAATTCGTTCATTGCGATTTTTGATATTTTGTGGTAATTAAAAAATAGGTACCTGTATTCCATATTTGATTTTCCATTTTACCAACATTTTAAGTTGTGTTAAGTTATTTCTTTATTTTAAAGCCCTGAGAAATCATCTGTTTTCATAAATACTTTTATGTTATTTTAGGATAATAATGTATAGAACATTATTGTATGCTCGGTCAAAATACTTGAATTTCAATTCTAGGTTTCTATTAAACTTTTATTTATAATAGAATTCAACAAGTGTTATTAAGCAGGATATTTTTTATAATTTTATGTATAATTATTAATTATATCATAAACTATCGGGGGTGGGTCTTCCATATTTTTATTGAGGGGGTACATATAAATTCTATAATTTCATTTTAAATTAATAGCTATTGGTTAAAATTATAAATAGGTATCGATAAAACACAATTGCTGTATATTCTGTTTTATCAATCTGAATGCAATCAATGATTATAATAATTAATAGTTGGTAGTATTATTCTTATTAACTATTTTTTTCATTTTTATGTCCATCATATTTTCTGTATTACCTGTATCACTTCCAAAAAAAAGACCTATTTTTTTCATTTTTATGTCCATCATATTTTCTGTATTACCTGTATCACTTCCAAAAAAAAGACCTATTTTTTTCATTTTTATGATTTCTAAAAACTATTATACTCAGCCAAAAAGTTTTAATAATTAATATAATTAATATATTGTTTTAATAATGTTGTAAGCTCAGTTGAACCCGTGCTTACAAAGTTTGCGGTTTGCCGTTTGTCGAGGTTGAGCCAACTAGTAATTCCGAACTGAGGCGTTAGTACACAATCGGTTAGRTTTACCTTAAATAAATTATACTCAACTCTTGGTATATAACTACTGTTTTTTATTGAACACATTATAATATTAAAATCGGAATAATGACACACTCGTAGCTCTAAATATTACAGACTGACTCGCAAGTCCGCTCACATATACTATGCTGAGTGAGCATAACCATGCGGCATGTGCAGGGGTTCACAACAATAATAAAATATATAAAGTTAGGTAAAATTATGGCTTGAATATAATTTTAAGTATATTTAACTTATTTAAGCTTTGAGTATAATTAAATATTAAAATATACCTACCTAGTAACTATCTAATATAGATTGACAGGACGTCTCTGTTCCAAATTGTTTTTTGCATCCAATCATTGAATTTAACACATATATTACACTACACACTACAGTGTACAGCACTGTGGCAGCACCTACTTACTCACTTTTTACACAATTCTTTAACTTAGCCGCCATCCGTTTTTAATTATTATTGTTGAAAATATTAATTTTTTGTAATTTTATTTCACAGATGAAGCATTTGTTCTTTGTTGTGTTAATACTTTTCTATGTTCATCATTGTTTATCAGCAAATATATTAGCATTTTTGCCTACATTTGCTAGAAGTCACTATGGTGGATTTCAACCACTGTTGAAAGAATTAGCTGTAAGGGGTCATAATGTTACAGTTTTATCACATTTTGCTCTTAAAAATCCACCACCAAACTATCACCATATTGATGTTTCAAAAGAAAGACAGAATGACAATAGTAATTATTTATTAATTTTATCAATTCATATACATTTATACRGTAATTTATTTTTTATTTCCAGATTTTAGCATGTTATCTATTGCGCCATACCTTAAGCCATTAATTATTCCTATTGGCACTTTGTTTTTTGGCAGTCAAATAACATTAGAAACATTGAACAATACAAAAGTTCAAGAATTTATTCATTCAGATGGTTATCAKTTTGATGCTGTAATTTTTGAAAACTTCCAACATGAATGCTTTGTATCAATGAGCCATAAATTTAATGCTCACGCTATCCAATTATTCCCAGCTACACCAACCGCTTTTACCTCACAATGGTATAGTCAACCTTTTAATCCTTCTTACATCCCAGATCCTAATTCTGGGTACAAAGATCACATGTCTTTATTTGAGCGAACTATAAATTTTCTTGTAACATGTCTCCAATTTATTTTGTTTCCAATATTTTACATGCCTAAACAAAATGAAATCATGTTGAATCATTTTAACTATACTGGTTCAGAATTTAGACCATCGTTGGAAGAAATGATGAAAAACATTTCACTAACACTAATAAACACACACTTTACTTTAGGAACCGCTAGACCTCTTGTTCCAAGTTTTATAGAAGTCGCTGGAATGCATTTAAAGCCTGCTTCAAAACTACCTAAAGTAATATTGCACTAAACATTTTATTTCTCATCAACTTCTAATTCATGTATGTTTTTTATGTTAATTCAATTTAGGACTTACAAGAGCTTATGGATAACTCACCAGATGGAGTTGTATATTTTAGTTTTGGATCAGTTGTCAAAGGCAGTCATTTGCCCACGCATCAAGTAGAAATGTTCCTGCGGCAACTTGGTCAAATTAAGCAAAAGGTCTTATGGAAATGGGAATCWGATAATTTACCAGAATTGCCACCAAATGTAGTAGTCAAAAAATGGTTCCCACAAGTCGACATTCTTGGGCACCCTAATTGTGTGCTTTTTATTACCCATGGAGGTATACATAGTGTAGAAGAGGCAGTGTACTATGGAGTTCCGATGTTGGCCATATCTATTTTTGGAGATCAACTATATAACTCAATAATGATGGAATCTAGAGGAGCTGCTATACGTTTAAAATACTCAGAACTTACTGAAAATCGTTTTGGCGATAATTTACATAATATGCTTAGTAATGCATCGTAAGTGAATTTTATTGATACTATTGTATTATTAATTTATCATAATACCTTTTTTATATTAGGTACAAACAAAATGCAATAAAGTTGTCTAAAATATTTCATGATCAACCAATGAAACCATTAGATAAAGCAGTTTACTGGATTGAATATGTTATACGCCATAATGGTGCACATCATCTAAAAACTGCAGCGAACCAACTTAATTGGATCCAGTTTTTGTCAATTGATGTTATGCTTGTGATCTTAACAACTATATTTTTATTTTTAATTATTACATTTTATATCATGAAAAAAATGTGTAAATGGTTCATGAGTTACCGTCAGCGCCATACAGAAACTAATGATGATAAAAAAAAGAAATAAAAGATAAACAATTGTAGTTATTACTTTAGTAAAATATAATAATTAACTATAAATTCAACTTTTATGACAACTGTATTAATATAATTTAAATCAAAGATAATTATTGCCAGTTTATAAGTAGAACATTTTAGGGGTTTTATTCTTACATATTAATTTAAATCTTGGCTTATGTGAGAAAAAAAATTATGTGCTCTTTATAATCTAATATTTAAAATCAAAAAATAAATCAAAAATTTGAGCATATCGGTACACTTGTTCAAAGTTTTTTTTAGTGCAATAGAACTATTTGCTAATTTTAATTTTTATGATAATATTTTTAATTTTATTTCAATAACTTGTATTTATAAGTATCGTGTCTTATGGTTTTGTAATACAATAAAATKTATTTTTGATTTTTTGCAATTTATTTACCAAATTTTATATATTAAATATTTATAGCTATTTATTTACATCTTACTTAATAATTTACTAAAACTGTTGAATGTATAAATGTATGTCTTAAATAAATAGTTTGATATGTGAAAAATGAATTTTAGTTTTGTGAAATGGATGTTTCTCATCAGAACATCAAAATGGATGCAATTTTTTCCAAACCAATGTATTCTTATCGGTGATAATATACATATTAAATTAATCACCATAATTAATCATATAATTCTATAAAATATCAATATTTTCGTATATTTCTTTGTATTTAATATTAACTTTTAAAATATTTATTTACTCTTACTGTCATTAAATTTAAATATTTATTTTATTCACTTTTAGAATTTCTCAAAGAAACCAACCTTCTGCATAGAATAGAATATCATTAGCAAAACTTCACACAAAATGTAAAGATATTTCTCAAAATTTATTATATACATTTTTCATCTATTCATTATTTAGTAAAAATTAAGTAAACTATAATAAGTATTTTGAAACGTTTTTCTGTCACGATATAGTTACTAGTTAGGTATCTTAGAAGTTTCGGTCGATGAATCTCCGTAATAGATATTAATCACCTGGAAATTACGAATTATCGGCATTATCGCTTATATGCTAAAGTGAGTAAAAAATACAATGGTTACCGTCCACATGAAAATAATTGTAGTTCTGTGATACAGACATACAGTATCACTGATACTCACCAAGGCCATAGTTCTGTGCTATGACGTAAGCAGCGGTGATGCAGCAATTTCCAGCTGTTTGATACTGATTACTAAAACTCAAGTCTTTAAMTATACAATCTTGCCTTAGTCTCCAGTGATATTGAAATACAACAAAATGCCTAGTTTTTGTATATCCGATAGAATTMGAAAAAAGAAAATAAATTACTTGTGACCATGTTTTTTTTTATTGTTTTGACCCGGTATTTTTTGTTTTTTAATGTGGCTACACTCATTCTGGAGGTAGGTATGGTAAAATACCGAACGCCCCGCCCCAATATCGTTAGGTTAGTTATTCACCTATCACCGACGATTCATACGATCGTGTGYACGGACCCAATAGAATCACGTGCGGCAAAAGTTTTGATTGGTTGCCATCAGAGTTACCACGCCCTCATTACAATTTAAATAATAAAGGTTGCATCAGTTTATTTGTTGCTTTTATTTAAAGTACGAACAATATTTATTTTTATAACTGTTTAATAATAATTTAATCATGAATAATACAAATATCTTTAATTCTAATGTGTTTTTTTTAAGTTTGCATGGATCAAATTATTCGAAAAAAAATAATAGATTTTTTATTATGGTCTATTCGAAATGAGAGGGGTACTGGGCGGTGACCTGTTTTCGTCTGGCGACGGTCAGATTCTTCTCCCACCAAGTGGGTGCGCAAGGCTAAGCTTCAAAAGAAAGTTACACCTATGCGCACTAGTCAGCCGCCAAGTACCGCTCTTATTCGAAATAGACTACAATAAAGTTGTTAATTGTTAAACTAACATATTTTATAATAGCATTACGACATAATACAAAAATTAAATATCAATATATTTTAGACTCGTAAACTAAGTAATATTGTAAAATCTTATTTTATATTAATACAATTATAATAAATTATTCTTATTATAAAATAGATAATAAGTTTATCATCTGAAATTGATAGAGCAATATTTTTTATAGATTATATTAYAATTAAAAAGTAATAACTTGGCAGACATAAAATTATGTTTTCTGGTAATACTACTTTAGATGTAATGGGAGTATAAAATTAATTGTGTAACAAGGTAACCAAAAATGTAATACAATATTAGGTAATTATATAAAGTAATAATGATACATGGGTATTATCATGGCTACAATTCTAAGTTGAAAACAAAACTTCATCTAGCTATTAATTTAACAATAATTGATAAATAAGGTAGGGTACAATAAGAAATAAAATAATGAATTATACTGGTATCTTAGAATCCTATAAAAAAAACTTAATAAATCAATAACATAATATAAATGAAATAACTCATTTGTTTGTTTTGGTTTTCTACTTTTATAGAGAAGCTTTATCTTTACCAACACCATAATCATCAGTTTCATTGTTATCATCCTCGTCATCATCTGATATGACAATAGTGTCGTTATATGATGTACCACGTGCACAATACATATGTTCAGTCTTATAGTTTTCACCGTTACAGGCAGCTACAGGAAGTTCAAYTGAAGATTTCAATTGTAGGTCAGTAGAATTCAGGGGTCCGTTACTATTGAAGTTTCTGTCCTCTCCAATTACTATTTCTTCTATTTCCCATTCCTGATCATCATTAATATGGACAGGTGCACAGTTATCAGCCTCAGCATAATTCATTTCATAAACAATTTCTTCTTCAATAATTTCACAATCTTCAGACTCATTGACTTCAACTTCTTGTATCAAATCACTGGCAAAACATGATTGTTTACTTGACATAGTATCCATTATGTTCCACTGTTTTAGGTATTCAGTATCTGATATTTCTGAGTTATTCATTTCCAATGRTTGTATATTATTATTATCATGCATAATGTTCTCCGATACATTAGAGTTAGTAATATTTACATCTTTAAGCGAGCAATTTTTTTCATCAATAGAAATTGAATTTAGATTATTTATTGTGTCAATTAATAAATTAATACCAGTTTCTTGAGGTTTATTTTTATTCTTCAAAGGTTTTTTATCTACCTTAGTAAGAATTTCTAAAATGTCAGAATCATAGGTAAATTTGAACTTCATGCAACCAATTAATATTATCGACTCATTACGCAGGATAGCAAAGCCAGAGTAACCATCTGTTTGTATTAGTCTCTTGGAACACTTGCAATGAGGTTTTTTATAGCCGTGCTTTGTGTTCTTGTACTTACTCAAATAATATTTTGACATTGGTCTATAATTAAACCCATGTGCCTTGCCAGCATATTTGATTATTGGTTTTTCATCATCACTATTATGGGCTACATGAATAATTTTATCTTTCTGAACTGTTTTTCTTTGTTTATTTATGTGCTTAAGGAGTTCCGAATTTACTTTTTTTAGTTCATGGTTATTGGAAGGTTTTCGGCGATTTCCAAAATAGGATACATTATCAACTATTACCCCAAATCGACTTAGGTTTTTTAAAATAAAATCTCCAGTTTTCTAAAAGAGAAAAATATAAACACAGTTTAAGTAATTATACACAAAACCATTTTGCTTAATCGAGATTAAAGCCTATTTTGGAAGCCCTTTATTTTACTAATTATAATTCTCGCAAAATACAAAGAAAATTTTATTTTTTTGTATTCAATTATTTCAATTATTTCAATTATTCATCTAATAAAAACACACTCTTAAATTGTTTACAAAGCTATTTTGTTGATTTAATAGGTTAGATTATTTTTAAATTTATGAGGTTATTAAATTTTGGTGTTTTAATGTTGAAATATAATTTTTTATGTTATAAAAATATTATTATTATTGTGWARTACATAATCAATATAAAACAATTTTCTACTACAGAATAGATCATTGGATTATGTGTATGATATTATGTTGTCGGCCATTGTTTACAAACTGCTGTAAGTAAGCAGTGGTACAGAAAGGAGGAGCCTATTTGAACACCGAGACCTCCCACCGCACACCTGGGTCAAAATWAAAATTTACTATTGGTAACCATTGATAAGTAGCCAGCCAATGAGACATCTCATAATGTCTTATAAGTGTTATATGGCCATGCCGCACCAGGTTTAACCAAAACAAATGAAAACAAGTCAGCCACCTAATTTATTTTATTCTAACACCACATTCGTTTGACATTTAACAATGCACATGATTAATTAATTATTATGATGAAAAATCTTTGAAAAAATWTTTTTATACCTATAGGTAATAAAATAAAATATAATAGTATAGTAAATATTACTTAGATTTTATTAAATTTACATTTAAATGTTTTCAAATAGTGGTATTAACTTATTTAAGTGTTTATGAAACGATCACATAAATYTAAAAATGTAACTGTAAATTATATTTAAAGTTTATTAACGACATATTATAATGGCACATTAAGTTGTATTGTAATTAAATAAATAATTTCTATAACCTTAATCGAGTTGTGGTGTATCGATTATCCAAAGCAGTGATGCCCAACCTTTTTTATTCAGCGTGCCACCAAATATATATATATATATTTATATTTATTTAATTATTATCATTAGTGTTATAGATAAAAAAGTATATATATATAATTTTACTTTTTTTTAGAATATATTGTTTTATATAAAAATTTGTAACGTGTGGCCCGCGGGCCGCGGGTTGGGCCCCACCGATCTAAAAAGAAAGATAACAAACCAAATTTACTTTATACAGGATTGATAGTACAGGTGATAAAAAAGTGCACTGACCGATAGTTTTTCCCATATTCAGAAATTCTACATTTAGGAGTACATATAATCCTAAGAATTAAAATAATGATACGGTATTTCAAAATGTGTTCATCAAGTTTTAAAATCATATTAATATTGTATACTTATTAATTTTACTGCATTCCAATTTACACGGGCCAAAATAGTTTGAATAACCCTGACGAAAAAGACTGATAGGTGAGGACGATTACTTTTCGTATTTATAACTAAAACTAAAATAGACGATATTTATCTAACTAACTTTATAAATGTTAAAATTAAATTGGTGGAAAAATTAATAATAATCCATTCCAAATAAGTTGAAAAAAAAATTACAACGAAAACGCGTCACGGTTCGCGCATGTACAGTCTTATTGGCTGCCGTCAGCGCGCTGCAGACTGTTGGCCAATCATAGACATTCCGAGGCCGCGCCACAGATAAATCCACTAAACAATATGGTAATATAACAAAAAATTATATATATCTGTGAGCTGAGCAGATATTCCAAACTTATTTGTACAAGATTAAGTTTGTAATTTTTAGCAGTGGTTTTAAGCGGTTTTATTGTATCATACGGAATATAAATAACATATTATTTTAATATGAAAACAAATATGTTAATAAATTAAATAACAGTTATGCTACATTAGAAAACTTAAGACTAACTTTATAAATTATATAATTTTATGGTATATTTAGAAAAACTTGTATTATTCTCAACGGTATTTGATTTCATTTTATTATTGAAATGAATATAAATTGATAAGAACATTAAGAACTATCAATGATTTCGACAAAAACGAATAGGAAAACAATTCTAATTTTAGGATTTTAGTATTTAAAATTTTGTTAAGCTATTTATAAAATAATTAATACATACTTTATCAAATCTGATGGTGGCATGATAATCAGAAATATACTCGCAATTTCCATATGGTTGTAAACACAGTTTATTTTTATGACCTATAAAAATGTATAATATAGAAAACGTTTTTTAATGGTATGAATATATTATATTACAATTTAATAAATAACTCACTTTTTCCAATCGTTATTACTTCTTTCTGAACAGATATTTTTAATGGTACAGATAAACAAGTTAAAGTAGCACCACATATTTTAGGCGGTAAAGAATTGTTCTTCTGCATCAACTTGTCAGAAATATCCATATCTGAAATAAAAATGATAAATGTAAATAATAGATAATATAATTAAGTATTGTGATAAAAAAAAAAAAAAAAAATGAAACATACCATTTATCTTATTAGCATTCTCAGCATTCATTGATTTCAATGCAAGTGTAGCGACATCACTGGAAATAAAATACATATATTAAAWTCATAAATTATAATATTGATGTTTAAAAATTACAATATGATTATTGCTAGAAATACTGTAACATGGTTTATTACCCCCTCTGGTTTGCTTGATGATAACACCACTATATTGCAAAGACTATTATATATCAATTTTTCACCCATCATTTTTTTATGTTGTAATAAAAAATAATGAAACTATAACAATTAGTCAGTCTTTTATTTTAAATATTTATGGATATTTTATCACAGAATAGGTGAAACCAGAATGGTCATTCCAAACACCAAAATAAGATCCAAGTTACGATCAGTGTAGCCATACAATAAGATTTACACAAATTTATGTTGCAAATGGCCACTCTGAGTTAGTGTTTTTTATTTAAGCTAACTGCATTCCTAAAACTAGTTTATGATGATAATTGTGTATAATGCTTACAATCTTTTTTATACTTTTTGTAAACACTGATAGCACTTTAATTTAAAATACTGTAAATTCCATAAAAGCCTATATAATTTTTTTAACAGTAAAACCTATTCAGTGATTATGATCAGTTGATCGAGGACTGTACATAAAAACAATGGCAAAAAAAAGGCGACAGTGCAATACGGTCGTGTTATCGTCATGAACCCAATCTGCAGAACATAAACTTGTTATAAACGAAGTTGATTACATTCCGTTAACTTACTACATAATTATCAATGTTTACGGTTATAAATAGCACATTTTTCTGTCTGAAATTTGGCAACATTGATTTTATAATTTTCGATATCAGTTAACATTTCAATTAAAAATAGATAATCAGTTAATTTGTTTGATAAAGTAATGTTTCTAAATGGAGTAAATTTAAAAGATTTTTTTGTAATTTGTCTATTTTCCAATGCAGCAAAAACATAACATTTGTATTTAATACTAATGAACTAATGACTAACTTAGTAAATCAAAAAGATAACTGATATATGATAGAAACAATGTTGTCAAATTTAAAACAGGTAATTCAAAATCGACAATATTTATGAGGCACTAAAATATAWTTTTAATTACCATAAAATATTTAAAGATGAGTTTTCGTTTGATGTTGTAGGAACATTATCTTCTGGCTAGATATAAACAACGAGAAAATATTAATATTAATCATTTATTATTAAGTAACATATTGCACGAAATTAGGATCTCGTAATAGAATGTTAGGTCAGCACTAATCTAAACTTAGTATATCTGCTAGAAACGGAAGTCTGTAGGGCTTGGATGTTCAAGATTTTAAAGGTTAAAATTGACTAACATAATTAAAAAATGACTTAAAAAAATGCAATTATAGCATAAAAATTACTGTAAAAATGACCTTATAAATTACAAATAATGGTTTAAAATTAGTGAAAATAAAATTTAAATTTAAATAATATAAATTTTAGAACCTTTTAACTATTAGAACATCTGACGTGGTTAAAATTAAATTATAATGACGATTGTCGGTTAATACATTTTTATTCTAAAAGAAATTTCTTTCTATGTCTACTTAAGTGATTGAAGTAAGTTTTAAAAAAGTTTCAGCTCTGAAGTCATCAAGAAAACACTTACTTGAAGCTATACTTCTTTGAAGCAATAGGGTTTTTAAAAGAAATTACTACAAATTTCAAAAAATATTTTAAAAATCCCAGAAAATAAACTATTATTTTGGATTAGTATGCTATTGGGATATTTTATAAGTTATGAATTATTATAAGAGTAGTTAAAAATATATTGCAAAATGTATCATTCAGAGCCCTAATATTAATAATCATGTCACAAAAGGTTAAGAGTTGGTTTGTGAGAAAGAAATGGGAGTCTGCCTCGTGTGACTCTAGCGCTACCTATGTTCATAATGATAACACTGATTATATCTGAACAGATAGTGCACKTCCAATAATGCGACGAGAAAAATTAAAACTGCGTTGTAATTGGTCTCCTATAAAAGCAGTGTGACCACATGCAATAGAGTAGCACCACTATAACGATAACTTTTTAAAAATGGTATTTTAGCCTAACCTAACCTAACCTAACCTACCCTTTTTTAACAACCTTATTTCAACAACAAACGATTTAATATTCATTAAAAATAAATAAAAAAATAATTAATTATACATAAATTATAACTATAATTTTTTTTTTTTAAATTTATTAATCAAGTTTGATTTTAATAACTTTATATGCGGATATATATTTATATATGAGATGATAAACACGAAATAATTAGTCACTCTATGACAATATTTTACTTATTTATTAATTACTTAATTAATTTAATTAGGTTAGAATAGGACAAACTAAACAAAAATATCATATGACGATARGAAAACCTAACCTAACCTATGATTGTAACTATATTTTTATAATGAATYGAAACAGACATTTTAATAATTAAAAATAATTAATGCCCGAGATAAATATTTCGTATCCAACATTCAGTTTATTTAGCACTTACGCGTTTAAGCCTTGCATAACAATTTTAACCTATTACCTTTTTATACATGGTATCAATTTTACTAGGTATGTTGAAAGATTTGTCAACAGGTAAACTGGGCAGTTCACATCGGGTTCTCTTTGTTGTAAAAGTTCTATTAGCTAGTAATCCACTACCAGGAGTGAAAATGTCAGGATATGCTAATTCCTATGGGCAAAAAATATGCAAATAAACATGCATTAGTATAAACAATGATTATTGATAATAAAAACATTAAATAACTAACGAAAAAATTTTCGTGTGCTGGACAAATCCATCTCATACTATGATCCCAATCACGGATAGGAGGATCTAAGCAATTGAGATGATAAAGTCGAATACAATAATGACATTGCACCAAYCGTCCTTGGAGAATCCCTTTTTTACAAACAACACATCTGTCATTCTTACGAATCATTTTAAGCTTATCCAACTGTTTTCTGGCAGGGAGTTTAACATCTAATAAAAAAGATAACAATATTAAGTGTTTCAGGTGATAAAAATTAAACAAAACACATACTGTATTTGCGCTGTATAGGTACTTCTTCGAGGAATGATTCGGATGGATCGTACGGAAATTGAAAATCAAATATATTTTTAATCTGGAGTCTAACATCTGTAAAAAATATATTAATAAAATAGTAGTTTTCAATATTTTGAATGAAAGTTGGCACCACATTAAACTTTTACCTAACGTAGTTTAGATCTTACCTTCATATTTATTCCTGAAAAATTAGTATTGAAATCATCATTCTGAAACAAACAATTTATTTAGTAAACAAAAACAGACCATAAATTACCATAATTCAATTTAACTCACATCATAAATTCATATATATAGGCTCCGCTAAATCAGTGTCCGTCATGAAAATTGCACGAATACAAATATTTACAGAACATTATAATATATCAAATATTTAAATAAATCATGCATTATAAATAATAATATTTTACTGGTTATTTAAGCATTTGTCATATTGGCTACTGCACACGAATCCAGAACTGTTACTACATAGATCACAACTTGTTGGATCAACCTCCTTAGATGGATGTTGGAAATAAGCCACTTCCAGTCTTTTTTTATTGTTGACCGAATTTGGTTCAGCAATTAATCTCATTATTTCCTAAAAAAAAAAAAAAAAAAAAAAAAACAGAACAATGGATAACCAATGGATTTAGGTACCTGCTGAGATTGGTAATATTATAAAGACAAAAATCAAAATATGTTGTACATTTGGGAGCGTCCCTAGAGATCGTCCTCGGAGCAGAATAAAAAAGACAATATCGATTAGTCAGTYCGGCTGCGAGGATTATTCGAAACGCGAAGAACCGAAAATCAACCTCGCGGACGATGTGAAGAAAATAAACGAGGGCAGCGCCCCGTTCACGTTGTGCTCGGTATTTGGTCCCGAGAGCACGCCCCGAAAACGAAACATTAAAGACGACACCGGTGCCYGCCGCAGGATAACGTCATGGCGAACGACGATCAACTTACCTTCATCAAGTCAACGGGTCCCGGCGAAACCGATTTCTTGGCGGCCATTGCGACGACGATCCAAACTCTTGAGACGAGTCGATCACCTTGAGTGCGCGGGCGCGCGCGTGTTCGTACTCGGTGTAATGGACGACGACGGCGGTTGACGTCGGCGAGCACTCACGCAGGACACGTCCTGTTCGCTAGACGACGACGAAAACGCGATGGATGTAGTGACGATAGGTTACGTCGGCCCGACGGAACTCGCGAGACGGACGGGCGCGCGGGCAACACCCGGAACGCACGAGAAAATATGGCGGCGTCGGTCGGGTGGAACACGAGAAAAATAGTCTGAGCGATCAAACAATGGTAGTCGGACGAGTCGGGTGCTCAAAGATCCCTACGATAATAATAAATGCGAAATAAAGGAAACGCGGTCACATGAAATATTTAGTCGCAACCAACGGTGGACGACAGAAAAAGCGATTGTGTTTCAGTTATTAATGGCGGACGGGCGGTCCTGCGAGAGGCAAACGCAAGGAGACGGACTAGCTAACGAAGTAACGAGCCGAACGGATGGTGGGATGAGAGCAGCACAGCGGCGCCACGGCGCGACGAGTCGGGTGTCGGGTACCCGGAGCGCTGTCGACGGACGTACCGAGTTTTTTCGGACTGAGGGCGACAGTGGATTTCGGCGCCGTACCACACAAAGCACACGATTGCACCGCGCGGGTACGCAAGACTGCAAGTGTGTGCCGCCGAGTACGACCACTTGAGTTGCCGTGGACCCCAGAAATCCGGGCCGCTCAGGCTCAGCCAGTTATTGGTCGTCCGCCGTTCGATAGAGCGCGATCACCGGGACGACGTTGACGGCCGCCGGACCACCCGTTCGAATCCGTAGTTTTAAAATATAATACCGTAATATTACATAGACGACGACGACTACATATTAATCATGACAAATTTGTCATGATATTAATATTAATATTAATAACAACAATGATAAGATTATTGTGATGCTGGCGAGCGTTACGAGTTGGATGACGGACGACTCGGTGAGAGTTAAACAGGTAACAAAACGTATATTGGTTTTTGTTTTATGTTGTTTACCATCGCACCGACCGCGATGGCCGCGGAGCGTATTGTTGTTATTTCACTCTCCATGTGTATAATCAAAATCTACCTCCAAACATCCATGCGTAACAACCGTTTCGTAGTTTCGTACGGTTTTCGATTTATTGTACTTGTCTTGGTTTTTATCAGTGCGAGCAACACTGGTTGCAGTCGTTTCTCTCTCTCTTAACTTTTTTTTCCTCTTTTTTTTTTTTTGTGGTTATAAACACGGCAAATGTGATTCTCAATCACAATAATCACATTAAATTTTAATTCAAATCCTATGATAAAGTACATTACAAATACTTACCAATTATTTTTTCTGCTATTCCTAGGTACTCGTAAATCTCGGTCGGGAACTGCATCGGAAAAAAGGGTAATTTACAACAATACCGATGGCGCCAAGAAGCACTCTTAGTAGGAACGATAATTCTATGGCGGAACGGCGATTAAGACCGATTTATGGTACTCAAATAATTCTCATATGGTTCGACGCTCTCAAATTTAATTCTTGGTTTTTTTTTCTTGCAGAGTGGATAGACAATGGAAATTATAAAAAGGCTTTGCACGAGTTGGACAAATTAATTAAAAAATTACCCAGTCAAAATTGTTCCAAAGTATGAACCAAATGTTTAGATAGAATTCGAGTAGTTTTTTGTAGCCRAATTATTCGGTATTGTAATCATATTTGATTTAATACAGGCATTGAAGAGTTTAACATTAGTTCGACTTGGAAAAGACCAAGAAGCACTAACACTATTAAAAGAAGTTAGAGAGTGCAAGCCATCTGATGAATCAACATTACTTGCATTAACAGCGTGCTATAGAGAACTTAAAAAACGTAATTTCAATAGTATTAAAATTAAAATCTATGAGATATATTTTATTTTAATTCTATAGCTCATATGGTATGTGAAGTATATGAGGATGCTTTACTTCAAGATCCAGTCAATGAAGAATTATTGTCTAGTCTTTTCATGTCCTATGTCCGAGTTTGTGATTACAAAAAACAACAGCAGACTGCMTTAGCTCTTCACAAAGTTAAACCGAATAACCCATATTATTTTTGGGCTATAATGAGTATAGTCATGCAGGTACATTTTAAATGAATTCATATAATATTAATATCAAGTTAATAAATAAATAAATATTTTTTTTTTTACTTGGGAAAATATACATAATCAAAGATTTATTAACATTATGGATTATAATTTCATAATTTATTTTTTAGGCATATCAAGCAAATGATGAAATATCAAAAAGAATTACTTTACCATTAGCTGAACGTATGGTACAAAAATATATTAATGAAGAAAAGATTGATGCTGAACAAGAAATTCAATTGTATTTGATGATATTAGATATGCAGGTACATCTAATTTATATATAACAAAATATACATTAAATTCTTTTTTATAAAGTTAAATATATATTAATATTTTTTTTTAGAAAAAATTCAAAGAAAGTTTAGATATTCTTAACGGACCACTTGGTGAAAAACTTCACCGAACTGTTGGTCTCACGCAAAAGAAAATTGATATTTACTTTGAACTGGAAATGTATGCTGAAGCAAACTCATACCTAAAAAGTTTACTGCTTAAAGAGTAAGTAATTTTTTGTAGTATATTTTACCATATACACTATTATTTAAAAAATGTTATATACTAATTTTAAATTAAATACCTATTTTATATTTGAAAGCAATCTTTAAGGGTACTTTTATTGTTTTATTTATAAAAAAATAATATTTTGCTTACCATAGTTGAATAATATTATTTTCTTAATGATACACACTGTAGCTTAAGTTATTTAGCATCATTGTACATTTTTGGATTTCAAAGATTCAGCATTCTTAAGATTCACAAAAAAATTATAAATAAAGTATAATTTCTTTGAAGAACTAATTTTATAAATTCTTTTGTAGAAAGCTAAAACCATTGATTAAGTTATTYTTGGTTATTTTAGATTAATTCTTTTTAGATTTCAAATACTTAATCTCGTAAATATTTACTTTCATTAAAGTATTAAATGAGACATATTATTTTGATTATAACCTAGTACAATAAATTTAAATATTTTTAAAGCGCTCACTAGAATAAGTATTTGATTTTAAGTTTATTCAGTACATATTTTCACACAATAACAGTAAATAAATATTTTTTAATACATATGTATATAAATAAGATATAGTATAACACTTGCTCGTTGTTTGTTTATCATATTTTATGTAATTTTTTAATTATCTAGTTAAATTAAGTTAATTGGTTTTAGATATTTAATTAAAAGTTATTAAAGTAATAAACTTTACATTATATACTACAGTTTGGTACTGCTTTTGTTTTCTATTTTGTAAATATGAATAATATTTATTATCTTGTTTGAAAAAAGAAACATTTATAATTTTTAAGARATATTGAACTTTTTTTAAAGGTTTTTCAACAATTTAAGGTTTCGATGTTATCACATTATTTTTGTTTTTTTATTTAATTCATCACATTTTGTTTATTAATTTAACATTGTATATAATGATTATCTTTAACTTTTCAATTATGCATATTTTTTAAAGTTTTCTATATTTAAATTATGATATTATTTTTAACACGTGTTTTTTTATTTAACAGCATAGATTCGTGGATTTACTATACTAAATATTATGATTCATTATTTAAAATTATTGAATCTAAAGATAAGTACACAAATTGCAATGGCTATACTGATTGTGTACCTCACTTTGATTCGTCTATAGAAGAAGCTTTGTTGTTTCTAGATGAATTAGAAAAGTTGAATTTTCAGCAAAATTATCCTCAAAGAGGTGTATACCTTGCTCGTCTYGAATTATATTCCAGATTAAAAGAAAATGCTTTTAAATATATGGGTAAGATAATTTAATTAAATAACAATCAAATACTAAAAAGATTTTTTATTTGCTATATTTTTTTTTCAATTAAAGAATAATTTATCAATAGTTAAAATAATGTTCCCTAATAGTAGTTATTGCAATTATTCTTAAAATATTGAATAATTTTACACTTGTTAATTATAGTATATTGTTTTAAATTATTTTTGTGATGAAATTGTATTTTATATTATAAAAAAAATATTTCAGGTGATGTTATCAACCTCTTAACTAAATATTTTAAGGTATTTGGACATAAGCCATGCTGTTTTTATGATCTAAGACCGTATATGTCACTTTTAAAAGAAGAATCGCTCAATGAGTTTTTGAAGGTATTGAATGAAATTGTTGATTTGAAAGAAGAAGAATTCCCAAAAACTGTGAGTACCTATTGTTTTAAAAGATATTCACTTAATATAATTCCAATTAAAATGTTTATGGCTAAGTTTTACTCACATTAGTCAAATGCCTCTATTGAGCAGTAAACAAGTTTATTATTACACAACATTGATATTTAACATCACATAGTGACTAGTATTAAAAACAACTTTAATTATTCATATATATATATATATTATATCTATATCAATAATGTTTGTGAATTAGTTGTAATTTATAATATTTCATATATTTCCAGAAATCTCAAATGGAATGTTATTTATCATTTCTCCAACTATCTAGACATGTTGGAATTCATGATCTYATGAACACCGAAGAWAAATTAAAACTTGCTGAACGCTTACTCAGATGTTATCACAGATGTGAGATATTTAATAACAATAAAAGATCTTCAGAAATAATGTAAGGTTACATTATAATAATTGTTAAGTATTTAAATGATATTTAATGGAAATATTTTCTATTAGGGCCAATGATACTTTTGTTATTATAATGGCACATTTAATGTATGATATTTGGGTTGAAAATAATAGACTCACATATATAAGGGAAGCAACTGTTGTACTTGAGTATGCATATACTTTAAGTCCCTCAAACTTCCATATAAAGTTGTTATTATTAAAATTTTACCATATGCTAGGTAATTATATTTCTATATTTTACATAATATTTTGTTTTCTTAACTATTCTAATGAATAATATTTGTATATATCTTCTAGGAGCTTCTGATGCATCAAATTTAGCTTATATTAATTTAGAAATAAAAAATACTCAATTGGATTCATTAGGTTACCTACATACTTTTCAATTGTTCAACGAAGGTCGTTTTCAGAATGCATCTAAACTGTATGCAACAACTGTCAGATTCTTCTCACATAACTATCGAGAGGTAGAAAATCAAAACAATTTGTTAGGTTATATTTATTTTCAGATAAATTTTTTATTTTGTTTAAATTTTTATGTYAGGTTGCAGATCATTTAACAATATCATACAAATTTGGATCTTTTATCAAAATCATCGAATTTGTGGAATTTAGAGAAAAATTAAAATATTCTATTCATAATTCTATGAGTATTATTGAAAACTATTTCATTTCATTACTTGATGTTGATAATCTAGAAGATTGTTTAGAGGTATTTCAAATATTAATTGATTTAAGTATAAATTGTTGGCATAAATATAAATTGTGTGTTTCACATTTATTAGATTGTATTAAAAATGAATGACGTGCCTGAAATTGCTTCGAAATCACAACTCAAAARAATGATAAATAACAGAGACTATTCAGTTCTGATCAACTACAATCCTCCTACACGATGCTTAAATACAGAACATGCTAATCAAATATTTTCTCATGATTTGCGTTTCCTGGAAATCCGTGCTGTCTTATTAAGTTGTATTTATTACAGTGCAAGAATGTTAAAACAGTTTAGTGTTCAAAATGTTATGCCTACTTCAGAAGTAAATAAACTTATTCCTGATGATGAATCTCTCAATTCAWATGATTTAGAACAATTGGATTTTCATTTGAAAAGTCTGATAAACTTAAACATTCAATTAGAAAATAATCCTCCAGTTCCAGTTCCTAATAATGTATTTGGAAGTTTTTTTGGATCTAAATTATTTGGATTAAATAAATTTAAGTCTATGTTGACCATTGCTATCAACTTCATTGAACTGATACAAACAATAGGATCAGATGTGAAAAATTCTGTTTCTATGGATGATGA